CCGACTGGGCGTTCCGACGCCCACGCACATTAGTTTGACCAGCGCACCGCGACGCCAGTCATAGCTGACCGTCCGTAGAGAAATGTTGATTTTCTTTTGTTGTTGAAAATATACATAAAACAAAGAATTAAAGAAACAAAAGCGTTTAATGTGATGTAGCAGTAAAATGAGTGGTGTGGGCTTTTTGGTGAAAACGTTTACGCCTGGCGGTCGAAGAAGGAAAAGATGTGAAAAGCAACAACATAAATTGGAACTCCCGGGATACGTTCAATGTCAGCCTGACGTTGTCCCTTTTTGGGACACCGTCGCCCCTATTACGCCGCCAGCAGCATTTCTTCCACCGGGATATAAAAGATCAACTGGTCGTGGTGAGAGAATCAACTAGTCGATATTGAAACTATTTCTAAGGTGTTGTTGATACAAAGAACGCCTAGAAGATTTCTGATTGAATTGAATTTGTTGCAATTAATAAGTATTCGGTATATTCCAACACTAAAGAAAAAATAAAGCAATTTACGTTTACTTTTTCTTAAACAAAAAGTATCTATGAAATTGTTGAAAATCCATCAGTGGAGTTTATTTTTAAATGTATTCAAAGTTTGTTGTATAAATTTGAGTTTTCGTAGCAACTTTTTAAAACTAACTATGTATTTTTTGATGACGATTTATTATTATTGGATTAAAAAACAAACTTAAGAGCAGATTTAGCAGGTAAAGAGCTCTTACAGTAATTGGGCTTTTTTCAACATTAAAGTGGCCATAAATAACTCAGAAAAATAGTGCTTTTACGAACGAACGAATCTCTTACTATTTATTATTGTATTTTTACGATATTTAAAACTATGTAAAGTATCAATACGAGAACACTTTTTCTGTGGCTGTTTTTGCTAATTTTAACCCAATTTTTTTAGAACACTGTTATAGATTTTGAATAACTAAACCTCACAGATTATATTCGTTTAAATTTTTGTGAAGTTTAAGGTTGCGTGCCAAATTTAAATTTAATCCGCGGCTAAACCCTTTATATCCCAAAAAGTAAAACGTTCCACAAGGTAATTTATTTTTGAATCTTTTGTTCTCTCTGAACATTTCTGTATAACTATTAAAATCACCCTGTACGCAAAATAAAAGTATTTTAGGTTATGTAGAAATAAAAATGTCACATTTATTTTTAGCTTTCAGCTCCCAATAAATGTATTTAACTTTTATGTTTATTATAATTGACTGTACTATCTCAAAATAGCTATTTACGGTATTAGAACGGTAGCAACATTTCTATGGCCGCGCCAATACTTTACAGGTCGATCCGTAGGGCGAGACCTGTATGTTTACCAAGGCCATAAAAATGTTACCGGTCGTATATTGTACCGTGCGATCAAAAAAAAATTAATTCGTGTAGGCTGTGATAAAAGTCCTTCAGATGGCAATCCTGATTTTTGACATCAAATGTCAGCGGAAACTTTGACAAGTTTTATTCATTTTGAGTGAAATAATATTCACTTTAGAGTGGAAATTTTTTTTGCTGTACAAGACGAAAACAGTGACTGGTCATTTTCACTTTCAGTTTGTGTGGAAAATTTCCAGCCCAGATTCTCAGCCAATGTGTTGCCAACTGTAGAGTATTAACCATCGCCTACTCTAATTTATTTATTTTTTTTTGATCGCACGGTACAAGATTTTTTAGGATACTGCAACGATCACTGTCAAGTTAAACAGAAATGTAATTTATACCCACACTTCAAATATTTTTGAGCTCATACGGAATTTTCGTGCTCGTAAATTGCTTAAAAGTTGTCTCACGTTTACTAACTGCGAGTAGTTCAGTTACTTAAAATTAATAGGAGACATACGAGAAATTTTTCAAGGCCCTCCCTGAATCAGGATCAAAATTCCGTTGCTCATATGATAGATAAGTAAAAAAAAATGTTTTAAAGATTATACCACTTGCATCATCGTTAACTTCTCAAAATAACCATTAGTGGCAGTTTTCACATTATTTTCAACTTAGGGAAAAGTAATAAATAGTAATCTTCAAGTGCTACATCTAAGCTGAAAAGTAGTTGTTACAACTCTTAGAAACCACATTCCTTGTTAATTTATAAATCGTGCAACAGTAAGGTTTCTTGAGTTTTTTTTGTTCGAATAACATTTAAGACATAAGGGAATGTACCTACTTTATGTTTTTTTGGGGTGCTAATTGCGAAGTTGGAACACGTTTTAATTTCATTAATTATGAAAATTTTGTCTATCTCGAAAACATAAAGTTTACATAAAAATGTTCCCTAGTGTTTACGGATATCTAAAGATTAGGATACGACACGACATACAATGAAAATGATCATTTCGATAGTTCCGTTAGTGCCTCCAGATAGTGCAGTTGTTTCTTTCCTGTCTAAGTTTTAAGAGCAATAAAATTTAAAAAAATGGTTGTATTTAATAACAGTGACCACAACGCAAAGAAAAAATTACAGACAGATAGCGCATTTAATTTTCAATAAAAACGCAAAAATTTCATAGAAAACTATTTTAAAAAATTCTACTTTTACCAATTTGCGCACATATTTTTTAAATCACTGCGAATACAGTTGAAGAAAAAAAGTTGGAAAGAGTTAAATTTCTTTTAAAAAAGTCTGCGAGACCATATCTATTTTCAACGAATCCATCGTTTGAGCGACTTAAACGTCTTTGGGATCTAAACCGTTAAGAGGGGCCCTACTTGCTATAAAAAATTTTCAACAAAAAAAAACAAATTTGCTTTGTTCTATGTACCACTGAAACAAAGGTAGCGCCATTTAAATTGAAGAAAAATGCATTTATCGATAACCTATTTACCATTTGTGTCATGTCATTTCATTTCATTTCATTGACAGCTGTCACATTTTTGAAATCTAAGTGCTGCGTTAAGTGTACAAATTTATTTACTTACAATTTTTACCTCGAGGTTTGTTGTTTAAGGATACCTCTATAGTATAATATTATTATTTCTTAAATTTATTTAACAATCCAAATTTTGCCGTGCCCTCTTCCGGATACAAGTCAAAGCTTTTTCTCAACATAACCGATATATTGGTTATTTAATTGTTAAGGGGGAAGTTTGAGACAACCACGTAAGAAATTCCCAAATTTTTATGGAATAGGGTTCAAATGAGGCCGTGCATAAACCGGAACTTTTTTGTGTAACTTCCAAAATACTGCTTATACTTTTTTAATGATAACATTGCAAATCAGGAATATCGTCTAACTCTAGTTTGATCATTTATCTAAAAGACGCATTTTCTGTTTCTATTTTTGTGTAAACGTTTACACCCTATTTCATGTCTTTAGAGATTGGTTTTTGAAAAATTATTATTTCTAAGTGGACCTCTACACCCTCTAAGGAATATGTCTCTCAAATTTTACGTTTTTATCAATGACTTGATAGTTCGTTTCTTAGTAACGCTAACCCGGCAAATTCAAATTTCGATTTTTCGAGGGCCGTTTTCGCTAAAATAGAGTTAATTGGAGAACTGACAAAAACATCGATAAGATAGCCCTTTTCGAGCACTATAAGCTCAATCAATAAGATTTTGATTACTGTTGCTCCTGCAACCTGAAAAAAATAAAAATTAATTTCCCATGTTAATTTCCTATATACAAACCTGCGTGGGACACCCGGTATATATCAATTTCTTTTTCTCTATTTTTGCTGAATTCATGTATTTAATGTTAGAACATTTAAAAACAATATAATTTTTTGTAAAGTACAAAAAAAAACAATCAGTAACAACAATAAAAAAATACAAAAGTGGTTAATGTATGTTAACGTATACAATAAAAAGTGTAAAGAAAATATTACATGTTCAAAGTTGCAAAATCATTTGTGTTGTTGAGTTTTAAAAAATTATACACTACTGTTAAATTTGAAAAAAGATTGAAAACAATTTGACTTTTTTGTGAAAATTTACATGAATGTTCGTAAATCGAGTGCGGAATAAATATAACTTTTAATTAATGCAATTAATTTGGGATTAGTAAAATTAGGGTATGCAATAGCTAAATGGTGTCCAAAAATTAGTCAGTATTCTTTCTTGATTTTTTTTTACAAATTTTCAAGTTAGATGCAAAATTGAAAAAAAAATGTTTTTTTCATTTTGATGAAGATTACACAATGTTCAAAAACAATTAATTCCTTCAATTCTTTTGTAAAACTTTGATTAATCGGTCCGAAAAAACGATTTGATGGATCGATTTAACATTTTCCAGAGCTATTGGGGATACACTAAGCTGTAAAAAAAACTTGACACATTAATCTTCCCATCAAATTTGTGAATACGTGGGAGATTTACTAAAGCAACAAAAAAGTTACTTTTTTCTTTAAATCAATATTGAGAGTGATTTTTTTTTAATCGTCAGAAACATCTTGTTATAAACATCTTGGCATAAAAGGTGATTTTAAAGAATGCAACGTTACTTAAAAAAGATTAGAATAAATACGAAGTTTCAAATATTATTATTGTAATTTTTTTACCTTGAGCAAGAGTACATTATTTTCAATGGGTGCACCCACCTGTTAGTCGGCGACCGTTAGACTTTTTTAGAAGGAAATTTTATTTTCCACAACATTCTTTCTTACATTTTTCTTGTATCTTTAACCATATTCATAGCATTTTCAAAAATATGGGACAGAGCACAAATTTTACATTTTTAATATTTTTTTCTCATCTTTCTCGTAAAAAATTTAGTGGTTATTTTTTCTCAGCCTATTAAGAATGAAATAGAGCTTAACATTGTAAGCATTGTAGCATTGTATAACGCTCGAAGTACCTTTATTTTTACTCTGCCGTACTATATTTTTTGGGTATAGAAAATCGGGTTTTTTGTATCTCATTTTGTCTCCGTAGATGCGATTTACCGAACCTTTCCTTGCCTATAAATTTGTATTATAACATAAGTATTCCTTTTGTTGTTTATTTATATTTCTTAAAAAAATATGTTTTTCTTATATTGGAGTATTTTTTCAGAGCCAAAAAAAGAAAAGACTGATGGAGCGACACATAACGGCGCTGTTTCTCCAAACGGAGACACACCTTCACAAGTTACCCAGCCTCCTCCCGGAAGTGAAGCGGGAAAACCGGAAAGACCAAACACTTTGGGTCATGGGAGGTTGACGAGACGACTATTGTGCTATCACAGTGAACATTGTGAGTGTTGTTACTAAACCGTATTGAAATATTTCAATTTACGAAAATATTTTCAGTTAATGATGGACAGCCAAGTCTTCTCAGTAACACACCGCCACCTCCTCCTCCATCTGAGAAAGAAAACCAGAATGTACCTCCGCCCCCTATGTCCGATACTGGTCTCATGCTCTCTGATTTGCCAGAGCCGCCTATTCCCTTATCAGAAATCGGGCCTATCCCTCCACCGCCGATGTTTAGCTCTCCTAGTCCAGTGCCGAATCGGCAATCGCCACCAATGACGCATATTGGTGATTATGAATACGAAGGTATGCACACACATAACTAAATTAAAAACGTAAATTAAACTTTAACTCTAATGGTAGAAAACGAAGACGATGACGGTGAAGAAGTCGATTTTGAAAATTTGGACGAAAACTCATACATGTTTCGCATGCCTCAGCCGGATCCCACTATCGACACAAGTCGAATTGATGAGATTCCCGCTAAAGAGCCCAAATTTAATGCTATGCCTCTGAAATCAGCTTTGAAAAAGAAAAGCAGTGGTGGTAGTGGTCCTGGAACACCGCAAAATACACCAACACAAGAAAATCGACCATTAACAATACGACAAGCTCAAATGGAAAATAATTCAAGTTTTAAGTAAGTTATAAATATGTTTCTAATTTGTTATCGTCTTGCGTCTAAACTAACTTTTTTTTTTTCATTTTACTTTGTTCATTCAGAAGGCCCCATATGAGGCCTCGGATAAAAATATGGTAATTATTAGTGTGTACATTATTATTGTTACCATAATTCATCTCATCATCATTTCTTATCATAAATATTTTCTTTGCTTTGCTTGACGTTAAGCAACCAAACAATGTATAAAGCAAATTTTTACTTACATTATTGTTTATAAAAAAACACTTTCGTTTTGAGACAATTAAAGTCTGTTTTTTTTTTAATAGAAATCACCAAGTCAAAATTGTGGCGACAAAATTGGTAGCTTATCTCCATAGCCACAAATTTTGTTTACTTTTTGTTAAAAATTATATTATGTTTTCATATTGGAAGTTGTCAAAATTTTGATCTTTATGAATTTTGTTTCAGTCCATTTTTTTAAAAACAATTGTCAAAGTGTTGTCATGTTGGTATCAGCCACTAGTTATTTGATGTTATTACGTTGTCATCGTAAAATGTCAATTGTATATCAGCGGTTTTTAAATTTAAAATAAAAAGTACAACGTAAAGAGCACAAAAAATGGATGGTACATATTACAATTATTTCTGTGACATTGCGGATGGCGGGAATACGCTGCCCCGAACAAAGACCTTTTGGAACGGAACTATTACGAAATTAATACGATAACGCGTTCATTTTAGCCTAGCTCTCATACGAGATAATATTTGTTTGAATAAATTATTATAAAATTGTGTTTTATCTCAAGTCTTTCTTAGACAATTTTTCCAGTGACATTAATGTCATTGTTTTCAAATTATATCAAAAACCGGTACAGCCAACTTCCTTTATTAAAATTACTATGAATGAATTTGCAGTAATACCAACGTTAACACTATTTGAGATTTCCGTTTGAAAAAACACAGATTTTAGTGTTGGTTGCTTTATGTTTTGATTTTCGGATGAATACACATCTTTTCCTCCCAATAGGGAATAAAGTGAAGCTTTATTCCTCCGTTTTTTGACTAATAATAAAATAAATGAAAAAATTATTTTTACACTTAAAGTAAACTGGAATTGATTACACTTAAAATTGTAATTTAATGAATTGAATATTTTGACAAAACATTTGATATTTGCCAAATATATAATATTCTTATATTATTAATTAATATAGCCTGTTGGGAGGAAAGTTTTGTATTCATCTCTGGAATATACATTGTTAATCCCTCGAGCATTCTTTGTTTATTTGTTTATTCTCTTGATACATAAAATAATGGGAGCGTAACATAAATTCAAGAGAAAACGTAGTATAAAAAACAAGTATACAGGGTGCGCCAGAACTCGCGCCCCAGAGAAAAAGGCCATATAAGGTCATAATTTCGAAATTATGAGAGTTTAAATTATTCACTTTGACTCTATTTATTTCTGTTGGAAAAATAATTTTCCAAGTTTTTTTGCTACAGGCTATTAGAAGAGGAAACAAGGAAGCTGTATCCTAAATTGCAACTGTATAAGCTTATCTCTGGCTTTTATTGGCAAAATTTTTGTACTTTTATTAAATAATCGTAAAAAAAACATATACAAGATCATCAGTATCATTAAATAGACATAAAAAAATGTCAAATGTCAAAAAATAAATGTCAAAATTTTTTTGACAAATAACATTTTTTTAACATTTTTTTCATGTTCCTGGTATCTTATTTACTTGAAATTTTTCTCGGGCACGAGTTCTGGCGCACCCTGTATAGTAATATTTAATCTTCAATATTAAATTATGATATTATTTTCAGCTCGAAGCCCGTTAGGTTTGGCATAGGTTTGCCATGTACTTTAGAAAACAAAGAAAATGCCAGACCGTATGTAATCAACGAGGTCGATAGTGACAGCGACTCTAATGACGGTCCAATCAATTACAGAGATGAAGATGGCGAATTGTCTGAAGAGAACAGATTGGCTCTTAAGATTGCTCGAAAGGAAAGTCTCTCGTTGAAATTATCGTTGAGACCAGACCGTCAGGAGTTGATTAATAGAAATATTTTACAAATACAATCAGAAAATGAGCGACAAGAAGCCAAGGAAGCAATAGGCGCCAGATTGATAAGGAGGTTAAGTATGAGACCAACTCAAGAAGAGTTGGAGGAGAGAAATATTCTGAAAAGTATGTTAAACATTTTGTTTTTTTTACTAATATTACAATTGTTGATATTTTATAGAACAAAGTCCAGCCGAAGAAAAGAAACAAAAAGAAGAGAAAAAACGATTTTTGTTGCGAAAATTAAGTTTCCGGCCGACTGTTGAAGAATTAAAGGAAAAAAAGATTATCAGATTTAATGATTACATTGAAGTAACGCAAGCACATGATTATGATCGTAGGGCAGACAAACCTTGGACTAGGTTAACACCAAAAGACAAAGCTGCTATTAGGAAAGAATTAAATGAGTTTAAAAGTTCAGAGATGGCGGTACATGAAGGCAGCCGCCATTTAACGAGGTGGGTACAAAATTTACAACAAAATTTTTTGCCTTCTGTATCTTGTATTTTAATCTTATATTGATTGTCAGTTTCCATAATCTAAAAAAGATAATATTGTAAAATTTCATAAATGTAATGTTCATGTACTCGTCGATAATCTAATTGCTAATTATCAGAAACTGGCGATCTATATTGAACCCGCGATTACTTTTTATCTGCCCCGCCCATTTGGTTTTCTTAGTAACCAATAAATATGTCAGATTTTATCTGAAAAATTTTATAAATTTTTGATGTTTGCATTCTGATAGTTTTATAAAATGTCTTGGAAGATTTGATTTGTAAATTTGTGAGAAAGTGATCATGAGAGTGATTTTCACATTAATTTTGAAGATTTGGATTAAATTTTATTTTCGATTTTTTTTGTTGTGTAAACTGTGATAAGTTATTTTATGTTGATGGGGCAGATCAAATGTTATAACGGCGCTAGTATAGTTACTCTTATTATAATTGTTTATGATTGTGTTTTTTTTTTTTAGGTTTCATAGGCCTTGACAATTCCAGAGTTTATTAAAACAAAAACTAAAAACTGTGATGGACATAGCCGTAGAAATTAACTTTCCCGTATTCGCTTATTGAGTCAGGGTGTTAAATCTGGCTGAGTTTGTGTAGGATATTGCACAGGATTATAACTGTATAATTGTTTTGTACATACGTGATTTTTTAATACACAAAGTTTTTATCGATAATTAATTATTATAAATAATATGTGTAAATTTTTTGTTTGAAGCACTTGATCAAGTTGTAAATATTTTATGTAATTATAGTGCAGTTTTTAATTTAAAAGTTGCATCACTGATATTACAGTGTGTGCAACCATAGATGTATTTGTTAATGTAGAAATTTTGTTGAGTTGCAACGTAATTTAATATTTTTGAAGCGTACTATGTAACATTGACATACATTATTTTATATCATACGACACGTTTTAAATATTGTTTGATTTCGTTTGGACAAAACGTGGGACATTGTTGGAAAAATTATTTTTATTGTAGTAGCAAATCAAAGTTGTAAAATTAGAAACCTTGGCAAAAGAGGAACTGTTGGTCTAGCTTGTAACATAGTTTCCTTCGCTTCTAAAGGCAATATGCTCTATGTATACTGTAAGAAATTGTATTCATACTCAATCAATTTATACTGGTTTTAATAACAAGAAATGTCTTCCAAATAGACAAGACATTAAAAAACGTCTTTTATTTGTTCCTTGCAGCCTTTTTTTTCAAGAATTTGAAGCTATAATTTGCACCTTGGTAGCCTTGAAATAATGTTAGGATAAATGCGTAAATTAATTTATTTGTTTACATTTGCGATGAATGTACACAAACTGCGGTTAAGTATTATTAGGTTTTGAAGATGCTGATAACAGGATGTCATGTGTTTGTGTGTAACAGGTTTTTATAATCAGATATAGATAAATTTTTGTACTTGAAATATGACATCCAACAAGTGAACACAATGAAGTTTAAACCAAATGACAATATTTTAAGAATTGCTTTAACTGCATTCAGTGTTTTGTTTGGAGTAAGTACAACCCCCAAAACGTAATTAATAAAATTATTGTCATTATCTTTTTTAGATTTTAAGTATATCTCTCATTACACTGGGCGCCATCTACATTGACGAATTATGGTGGCCTAGAAGATTTGTTGGTTTAGAGTTTATAGAGTTTCCCATTTTATTGATAATTTTAGGATCATTAAGTTTGATCATGGCTGTTGTTGGGTGTATTTGTGCTAAAACTGACAATAAAACTTTTCTTTTAACGGTAAGTAGAGAAGATTTTTTTGTGTTAATTTTATTTAATCATTTTTAGTTTGCTGGTGTTCTGTCAACAATTTTATGTATCGTATTAGCTGTAGGCATAATTGGTTTTGTTAATCTTGACAAACATGAAAGAGGTCATAGTAAAAGGAATCGACTGTTAGAGCAGGACAATAACAAATTTTTTCTTAGTTCATTTTAAATAAACTGACTTTTCGTACTGTTAGTTTGCAAAAATTCTCTATAACCAATACCTTTTATATTTATTTATAGATCAATTTATTATTTAGTTTTTCAGACAAATGTACACTTATCGTTTTAAATTTTTTTTATCAAAACGTGTACTATCCGTAAACACGAGTATTATTTATTTGTACCAACATATTGTATTAATTTTTACGTATTTAAATAACAAATATAAAGTGCTTCATGCACCCGAATTATTTCTGTTTCCTGTATAAATTACTATCTTATTGTATATACATATTTTAGTACCCACATAGTCTGTTTCATTTATATTCTTTTTTGTATTACGTCAACACCTTATTACTCTAATTCCTCTAACTATATTTGCACCATATGGAAATTATGTGTTAACTGATTCTTCTAATTTTTTCTTCAACTTTGCGGTTTATTTTACCTTAAACCAACCCTTTAAAGCAGCGGTCGGCAAGCCGCGGCCCGCGGGCCGCATGCGGCCCGTGAGCCTCCACCTTGCGGCCCGCGATTGTTTTGTAAATAAATGTCTTTTCATTCGGAATTATTTTAATTGCGCGCCAAAACTGAAATCTGCAACATCCGCGAAAGCAAGCGGCGAACGTGATGACTCGTCCCCGCCCTCGCCTCGCCGTTTTGGTGGCAATCGAAAGAAACGTCCAGTGCGATGACGATTGCCGCCCGTGTACCAACTGTGCTGGCTGATCGAGTAAAACGAGTTATAGTTACATATATAATTGGATCCACGGCGCCGTACGAAACCAACAACTACCTGTTTTGTTTTGAATTTCGGTAAGTGTGAGAGTTCTTTTTTTATTTGACACACTTGAGTTYACAAAACTAAATAGCGTGTATACGTATTCAATACAATAATAAGTACTTCTATTGTTGCAGCATTTACTCCCGGTTGTGTGCGTAATAACTTTCAGTGATGGCTTCAAAAAAAAGGAAGTTATTAGAAGAAAATAGAGTATTTAACGATGCATGGACAGATTTATACTTTTTTATTGATTGTAAGGGAAAACCCCTATGTTTAATATGCCAAAAAACTATTGCTGTTAAAAAAGAATATAATCTCAAACGCCATTACGATAGCGAGCATAAAACTAAATTTGCATTTCTTGTGGGTGATTTACGGAAAAATAAAATTAACGCATTGAAATCGTCAGTAAAGAACCAACAAAATGTTTTTAAGGTTCAAATTCAAAGTAACGAGTCGGGTGTACGTGCGAGTTTGAGGGTAGCAGAAATACTTGCGAAGTCTGGCCGACCGTTTACTGACAGCGAACTAGTAAAACAATGTGCTTTAGTTATGGCTGAGGAGGTGTGTCCAGAGCAAAAAAAAAATATTTGATGATATTTGTCTATCTGCCAGAACCTGCACCCGGCGTACTGAAGATTTGGGCAATAATTTATGCGAGCAACTTCAGGAAAAGGCACAAATGTTTGAATGGTTCTCTTTAGCCACCGATGAAAGTGATGACGTTTCGGATACTGTGCAGCTACTAATATTTGTGCGCGGTATTGATGAGAACATTAATGTTTTTGAGGAGCTTTTACAGTTATGCAGTTTGAAAGGAACGACTACAGGGGAAGATTTATTTCGCCACTTAGAACAAGCGTTAGTGTCAATGCAATTACCATGGGCAAAATTGGTAAGCGTTACAACTGATGGAGGCAGAAACATGAGTGGACAAAACAAGGGCCTGGTGGGTAGGATTAAAACAAAACTGGCAGAGATAGGTTGCGATATGCCATTATTTTTCCATTGTATTGTCCACCAAGAAGCGTTATGCTGCAAAGTTCTTGCATGGAAAGAAGTAATGGACATCGTAATATCGACAGTAAATTCCATCAGAAAAAATGGGCTGACACATCGCCAATTTCAACAGTTTCTGTCGGATGTGGAAGCTGATCACCGAGATGTCCTGTATTATTCTGAAGTGAGATGGTTAAGTAGAGGTGCAGTACTGAAAAGATTTTTTGATCTACGAAAAGAAATCAACACTTTTTTGATCGAAAAAAGTAAATCTGTTCCAGAACTTACAGATCCTCAATGGTTAATAGACCTTGGTTTTTTGACAGATTTAACTCATGAGTTAAATATACTGAACATGAAGCTTCAAGGAAAAAACAAATTAGTCTCTCATATGCACACAGATGTAAAGGCATTCCAAATGAAAAACAAGCTCTTTATAAAACATATCGACGAGAAAAAACTGGACCATTTTCCGAATTGTAAAAAAGCTGTCGAAGAAGTTGGAAAGAATTTTCATTGGAAAAATGATAAAATGAAATGCATGTTAATGCAGCTACAAAATCAGTTCAACGACAGATTTTGTGACTTCGAGAAGGTTTCTGGCAAACTGAAGATTTTTGCAAACCCTTTTTCATGTGATATTGACGACGTACCGAGTAATTTACAAATGAATGTGATTGATCTTCAATCTAATGACACTTTCAAAAACTCCTTCTATGAAATCAATGATATTATTAAATTTTATGGCAGTTTGCCATCTAATTTTGACGAATTGAAAAGGTTTGCTCAGCAATTAATTACAATTTTTGGCAGCACCTACTTATGCGAACAAACATTTTCAATCCTCAATTACAGAAAGAATAAATATTGTTCTCGTCTCACAAATGAGCATTTGAGTGCCATTTTACGAATTTCTACGACAGGCATGAAAGCAAACATTCCACAAATAGCCAGTCAAATACAGCCTCAAAAATCGCATTAAATTTTGATTCGACTCGCATATATAGCATATTTATTTCGAAGTTTTGACTTAATTTGTCTGTTTTTTCTCATTTTCTTATTATTGTTTCTACTTATTAATAAAATTTATATAAAATGTTGATGAATAAAGTAAAAGTAAATATTTGTGTTTTTGCATTTTTAATATCATCGATATAGGTACATACATACCTATTAACAAAAGTATGAACAAGTGCGGCCCGCCTTTATTTCTTTTTGCCACTATGTGGCCCTTGCCTACTAAAAGGTTGCCGACCGCTGCTTTAAAGGTAAGTATTATCAAAGGCTGTGAAACTACAAACGATCACCGTCAATATAGTTTACTTGTATACTAATTATTTGTTTAATTTTGAATAGTCTCTGTAAACGATGAGTTGAAACTGGGATTACGGAAATTGGTTATGGGTTATTACATTTTGGGTGAATTTCTATCACGTTGAGGATAGCGGGAATAACCCTACACCCTCAGAAAGGGGTGCGTTTTTAAATGGGGTTTTCCCACTATTTAAGAATAGATAAAATTACAAAAGTTGGTACAGCTGATACACCTGAACGAATTCAAAGATCAAATGTCGAAATAATTATTCAGGGGTGTTCTAAATTAAAGGAGTTTAGAGTAATTTTAAATTTTTATGCTGTGCAGGGTCCTGTAACATATATTTTACTCAAAAAGTATAAATTGCATCGAAAAAATTGGACCTGTCACAATTGTTAACATAATTTAGTTACTTCTGCTGCCAACATAGAGAAAACCCACACACTAGAGGTGGCGGGCTAAGGGCCGCCAACTTTGCAATAAATTACTATGAATTGACCGCGGTTTTCGTTACAAACAACATGAAAAACGGAATTTTTCTAAAAGTTCAAATCCTAGATGGTAATTTATTGTTCATAAATCTGTATACTGAAATATTTACAATGTTGTCAATTTTACCATACAGTTTTGGGTTAATAAATTTGTTGAATATAACAATAAATTTCTTAATAAATTTTTTATAGGTGTCTTGGAAGATTTCCTACACCATATGTATATGACTCACCCTGTATAAAGCAAGAAAATCATAATTTTGTCATAATCAGCAATGACTTTTTATGACAATTCACGTTCGAATTATAGACAAAATAAAAAGGCTGTTTTTATAATTGCAAATCCACTAAAGCATTTAAAGACATCTGTTTGTAATGTTTGCTTAAAAAACAAAAAGCGTTTAAAAAACAATCCTTAAAGAGCTCAACCCAACTTAAAAATCAAATCATATTCATTAGGTTTGGAAAACTTCGAAACTATACAATGTGATAAATTAAAATTAACTAATTAACATTGGACTTTTTTAACTTTTTTATTGTTTACAGACTACATAGTTATAATTTAAATGCAAAATATTTTCTTCCACTCATTGGCGTGAAAATATTGGGATATTTAACTGTAGTTATAAATATTTGTATAACAATTTACGACGCTCTTCGTTTGACTGATATCTTGCCCCGAGACAAACTTGATAAGTAGATTTTAACTTTATTACCATCCGATCTTTTCACCCAAATCTGAAACAAAACAGTACACAATAATATCAATAGTCTGTCAATTCGTAAAGATGGAAATAAAAGATTTACATTAATAATTTAAATTTTTTATTGTACTAAACGAAATTATGATCAATTTTAGGTGAGTACGTACCATATCGTTGCCTATTGCAGAAATATTTGCAGGGAATTTGGGCAAATCCCTTCCTTCAACAAAAACACTCTGACCTCGATGAAACCAACGCTTTTCATACAAGAGTTTCCCGTCCTCTATTCTCGTCTCAATTAAAGGTATATCATTAAGACCTGGTGAAACAGTCAAAGGATTCTGAAGATTGCCAGAAGATAGTGAAATATTATCATCTAAAATAAAAATCGCCAATAATCAGAGATACAAAAAAAAGTAAAAGAAACAACCAATACTCGGTTTCCTTACAGGGGCGAGGACTTTCCCCCTATTGATTATTTTTAAGTCATTTTCAATCTCTTTCTCATCTAAAAGATAGGTTATTTGTGCTGTGGGCGCTTTTCGTCGTTTTTCAGGCACAGGAATCGGATCGTTTGGTCTACGACGTAATTTCCTTGTCATTACTGGTTTTACTTCCATGGAATCTCCAGTTAATTCAATTGAATAACGTTCAGCTTCAATTGTTCTTTTCTTGTCTTCTAAATCTGAGATTAAATTTTCTCGCAAATCAATCTTTTTGTCTTCAAAGTCTTTAGCTGCAGCTTTTTTTTCAGCTATATATTCACGCTCCACACATTCAATTCTGTAGTCTCTATACAAGATATTGACTCTTATTCGTTCTCTGTACTGACTCTCAAGTTTCTTAACTTTTCTGTTATAGTCGTGATGAGTACCATCATTGAGCTGTTGGAGTTTCTTTTTAAGACTAGCTAATTGTATTTGATACATTTGTTCTTTAATTTCAAGGGGCTCTTCATGACGACCAGTATCTGTTTCACTGGCATCTTCAGTATCTAAAAGTTTAAACCAAAGCAATTAAAAGACAAAATTAGTTTTATAAAATTGATACCTTCGTCACTATCATCATGAGGATCTTCGTTTTCTCGATCATCTTCGTCGTCAAAATTATCATCTTCATATTCGTAGTCTTGGTTATACGAATTAGAGTACGGAGATCCCAAATACGACATAATTATAAGTCTTTGAAAGCTTTGTATAACTAATTTCGATGCCACTTTATTAAATACAAGGTTTGTAAACAATTAAAAATAGGTTATGTCTCAACTGTCAAACGTCAAACAATGATTTGATCGCGTGCGCCTCTTCCGACAAACGCTAAAAATTTTTTCTTCCAACAAATTTTTATTTAAAAGTAATCTTTGTTTTTATACAGTATTAAAACTTAATATAATGAAATTGTAAAAAAATTAAGGGTAAATCCAAAAAGTATTTATTTTTAGTTAAAATAATTTTACTCTTTAAACTCAAGATTTATAAAGTAAAAAGGTTGCCTCATAACTTTGCACCCACTGAACTCGTCTCGTTGTAATACGAGTTCAATGTTTGCACCAATCACGTAACGTCACTGGAGTGGTTGTTCAAAAATAGGATATGCAACCAAACATATTATTACGTTAAAAAACAGAATTCTGTAAAAAAAACTGATATTTTTTTATCCACAATCACTCTATAAAGAGATTTTATTCCACACTTTAGATGCGTATCAAGTACCAGTTTATCCACTAGTGGAATAAAGTAACTTTATTAGTGGCAAATAAAAAATGTAACGAAAATTTGCGGTTTTTATTTAAAAAAACAGAACTTAGTTGTGTATCTTATTTTGGGACATTCTGTATATGAACAAAAATATTTTCATAATGTGCCTTATTGTTGGATATATCGCCTAAAAAAATCTTGTCGATAACTTGGATAGAAAAAAAGTTATGGAGTTTTTTTTTAATTCTTTCACTGATATTATTATAACCAATTATAGCACGTGACTATTATACAGGATGTGTCAGAACTAGCACCGAGAGAAAAATTTCAAGTAAGATAAGATACCAGGAACATGAAAAAATGTTTAAAAAATTCTATCTGTCAAAAAATTTTGACATTTATTTTTTGACATTTGACATTTTTTTTTATATATCTATTTGGATGATCTTGTATATGTTGTTTTACAATTATTTAGTAAAGGGACAAAAACTTTGCCAATAAAAGCCACAWATAACATTGAACAGAGTTACAATTTAGGATACAACTTCCTTGTTTCCTCTTTTAATAGCCTATAGCAAAAAAACTTGGAAAATTATTTTTCCAACAGGAATAAATAGAGTTAAATTGAGAACTTTAAACCCTCATAACCTCGAAATTTTTACAGATAAAATTTTTTTAACATTTTTTTCATGTTCCTGGTATCTTACCTTATATGGCATTTTTCTCTGGCGCATCTTGTATATTGCGTTTTTAATAACACTTACTACGTTTCCATGAGGAATTGAATTCGAATTGAAAACGGTATTGGAATTGAGTCCGTGTGTGTTTCCATGAATTAGTTTGGAATCTTTTTTTTTAAAGCAAAATGAAACCGAAATGACGTCACACAACAACAACAGCTTTTCAACGTCAACTTTTTGACACAAGCCCTGCAAAGTACCAGTATATACGATACTGTTTCCATGCAAAAATTGTACTTTCAATCCCAATACGATCCCAGAATTTGTCGTATCGACCTTGAGATTCAAATCGATTTCAATATCGATTTTAAAGTGTTTCCAGGGCAGTATTGAATCTCAATACCGTTTTCAATTCGAATTCAATTTCTCATGGAAACGTAGTAACTATTAACGAACTCGTTTGGGTGCATTAACACTATTAACAGTTTCTTAGTGTGTTTGTTAATAACCTAGTATATTTTACGTTCTTGACCAATTAAATACTAATAAAAATTGGAAACGGATTTAGGTGTTTAGGGTCTTGAAGTTGAAATTTTAAGATGATGTGCACGGTAGAAGAAAACCAATACGATGTAGAATAGAAAGCAAAATTTCATGTTATCAAAATAAATAATTCATTTTAAATTATTTGCTCTGCTGCTTCGGCTACAACAATGATCGTGGCCATCACTTTGTGCGTCACCGTAAATCATAACGATGACAACCAATTTATTGTTTTAACATTTGTGATCTATGTCCATAAATTTGAAGAAAAAATAAATCAAACCTAGCAAGAACGTTTTTTGAAGTGATCACAAACAGAATATCTTGAATTTAAATTTTGATAAAAATTAAAGCACAAATTAAATGTCTTATCTTTATCGTCGTGTATAATATTTCGTTTTATTTTGTGCTCATCACCTACCAGAATTTCTTGAATATAAACAGTAAATAAAAATTACTTTATTTCACTAGACGATAAAAGATTATTCTAAAATTAGTTGATAAAAGCACCCTTTAACATTGTGTACAAAATAAAAATTATGTTTTTAGCAAGAATGAATATGTCAGTTTCAATTTTTTGGATTTGAATGGTGTTGCAATAAAATATTTCTGTCTACAAAAGTCATTATTTTGATGTAAAGTTTTCTACTCTACGACACTGATTTAAAAAATTTTTGTACGAATATTCATATTCTTCTACGTAAAGAATCTGTGGCTAAGATCTGTAGCTTATTTCATGGAGATTTATTTCAATAACATTTTAGAAATTTCGGGTTCAGGGCATTTTACAACAAAATTTTGGATTTGAAGAGTCTTAGTTTCCAACGGCCGAAACTGTACCAATATTTTTAAATTAAATAATATTCTTAAAATAATAACAATTCAATGAGTTTTTTCTTCGTTACCTACAATATTCTGACAATTTGCTTTTATCTCTCTCTATCCAAGACTGCAAACATTCTGTATAAAACGACAGGCAGGTAAAAGAGAACTTTTTTTTGGCACAATAATGTATTATTGTAAGTTAAACTCATAATATGTTTTGCAAGGGAAGTGCAATTACAGGACATATCTAAAAAATAGACGAAGAACACAAATTTAAAAAGTGTAATTTTAAAGATTTTTATAAAAATATTATTTATTATTTATTTTTAGTTCGAAACATTTTAACACACACCCTATTCTTTTTTCATATATTTTTGATAAAAAAAATTTACATACACATAATGTGTCCCGGATAGGTGAAACGATTCTTGTAAAAGATAAAAAAAATCTCGATTTAAGTTGATCCTGTGAATATGGATTATAAGATTAAATTACCTTAGGGATAAGAGTGTAATTTTTTTTTGAAAGTTCATATTTATAAAAGTTTGCGACCTCGTAAATTTTCATTTTTTGGGATTTAGCTTTGCTTGGTTAAAGACTAATTTCTAACACCAAAGTTTTACAAATTTTTATAAAAGAAAATGAAAAATCATTATTGGCCGATGATTTTGAAATTTCGTGTAAGGACCCTAGACATTGATTCTAAACAACTTTTTGTCGTATTTGCAACTTAAAAGGCGCTTTACTCTGCAGAAATATATATTTTTTTGAAAATCTCCAAGGCATATACAAGAGACACTAGAAAAGTAATCTACCTAGAAATGAAACAAAAGACGTACAATTTTTTTGATAATTTTATTTTTCAATATAATTACCCTCTACATGAATACACTTGCGCTATTTCTCCTCCAGTAAACGTTTACCTTTATAAAAAATGTTTTCTCTCGACTCTCAAAAAATTCGTCGTCGGCTACTTTTAGGCCATCATCAGAGTCAAAACGCCGTCGTCGAATTTTTTTTTTGTTATCGAAAAAGATAAATGTTAAACAGAACCAAGTCCGGACTATAGGAAGGATGATTTATCTTACTTAACGAAGCTATGCACATTCGCACTGTCATGCAGAACAAACACTTCTCAATTATAAAAAATTAGTCTTTTCTGATAAATTGCTTTACGTAAATTTTCAACGTGTTTGCATAGATGTCCGCATTTATTGCTGTCTTTTTTCGCATACATTTAATGAGAAAGATGCCCCTGATGTCCCGAAAAAAGACTTTCACTTCGAGGATCGTCTTCGACGGATTCTCGCCCTTAATTGTTTCTTTCATGGCTAGGTAGATAACTTTTCTAGTGCTCCTCGTACTTATTTTTTAAAACTAAAATTATACAGGCTGTATTATAAAAACGCCCCAAGCCATAACTCCATTAATTTTATTTTATGACATTACTTCTTCAAACAAAGTTGAACAGTTTCTTGTCATCTGCCAAATAATGCATATATGCTAGGGTGTACGCGACCAACGATTCGATAGTATATTGAAAACAAGATTACTCTCTTAATATGCAACAGAATTTCATGTATTATACATCAGAATAAAGGTTTTTTTAAATCTGCAGGCCAATACGTTGAGATTTTTAAAAAAAAAATCAATACTTTTAAAAAAATAACAAAAATGCATAAATGGTGAACTTGAAAACAACTTTACTCAGTCATTTTTCAAGTAATGAATTTTGGTTTTTGTAAGATAATTTAAAAGAATATTCTATAGGCCGATACGTTGGCCTTTTTTTAAAAAAGTGTTTAGTTTTTGAGATATTGTGATTGATGTAAAAGTCACAATATTTAACGGTAGACCTAAAGATTCGTTTTAGGGTTTTGGTATTTATTACAAAATATTAATTCTTAACAAATTCAACAAACACCATGTAATAAAACACTGTTGTTTTTAAATTATTACTAAATATATTTTGCCCAAAAATGCCTCCTAGTTCATTGCTTTTACCACTAGAGGCGTTGGAGGATGGAGGGTCTCTACCTGCCGTTGACTTGACTTTTAAGGTTCTTTATCTACAGCTTTCAAAAATCTAGATTGTAGGACTAGTTTTAAATGCCAGAATTTTTTAATAAACTGTGAATTTTGCCAATTTCTATCACGTTATTTCTTTATAATCAAAATTCTGAACTTAATAATACATTTTATAATAGCCAGTCAAAAAGAAACAAATTTTTACCTTTGATTTTACGCCAAAAAAGCAAAGGAAATAAATACTTTTTTTTTCTATAGCAGATGTTAAACTATTTCTTTAAAAACTCTTTTGAGTAGATAAAATAACACTTTAACAGCAAGGGTTATTTTTGCTTTATCTGAAACGAGCAAATCTGTAATCAAAACTTCATTATTCTGACTCAGTGGAAAGAAGGGTTAAAAAAAAAGTTTTTTTCTTACTTTCAGACTTGTAAAAATAATCTTTCTTTGCTTTTCAAGTCCCATCACATTGGCGACTTTATTTTTTTGACAACGATGTCAATTTGACAATTAATTAATTAATTGAATAATGATTGTTTTTGTTAAAAATGACTGTTTTTTAGAAGCTGTTTTTTTTGACTTGCCATGTATTAAAGTTATGTTTTTTTGCAAACATTTTTGTTATTTAACTTGCGTTAACTCATTTGTCAAAACGACATCGTTGTTAAAAAAATGAAACGCCAATGTGATGGGATTTAAAACGCAGAGAAAAAATTACACTAGTTTATACGATTTTTATACCTTAGCTGAAATTTAATTTCTTATAGATTTTAAGGCACTGAGTTCAAAAAAACTTATTTAAAAAAATCCACCACGTTACGTTTAAGAAATATGTAATTAACAAAAATACAAAAACCGCCAAAAAACATATTAAAAGTAAGTTATTTTACTTGGTTTTATTATACTTCTTGGATCAGTATTCTTTATATCTAACTAACATACTCGTATTTTCAAAAACCTTCGTGTCGATCTTTGAAAACCCTTTAGATCTTGATGAAAACGCTCGTCTTGTTTGTCACTCATGCTCCCTAAATTTTAAGAAAAGAAGTCCAAATGCGAGTGAAATGTCTTTAAGACCTATTTAGACCTATATAGTAATAATTTTGCAATAATTCAGCAACAATTTGAATTTAAATAAATTTTAAATCGGAGGCATTTGTGCAGAAAGCAGAAAAATTATCGTCTGTAACAAAAAAATTGTGACGTAATAGATAAATTTAACAATTATTTTTGTTTAATTAAAGGTAAGTTAACATAAAAATAATAATTCGATTAAAGGTATATTAAACATGTTATTGTTTGTAGACTATAGTGTTATTAGTTATTACAAGCTCATAATCAAGAGAAAAATTAAATTTTTCCACTGAGTGAAAATAATGAACTTTTAAAATGACAGACTTACTGGTTTCAGGTGAAACAAAAAATGTTTTTCTTTTGCAGTGTTAGCGTAAAATAAGAAAATCCGGGGACATACTGTATAATATTAGTTATTATTATTATTATGGCATTTAATTTACCACTTTGGGTTTTTTGCTTTGTTTAGAAGTAATAAAAATAAATGTAAAAAAGGGAAAAAACTAGCTATTTGTTAATAAAATTAAAAGTAAATCACAAAAATTTTGTTAAGGTAATGAAATACATAGGCATGCATTTTTTTCTCTAAAATTTGGTTAGTGTCATTTTGCAAATTATTATAATCACCATTTAATAATTTATACTCATTAAAGAAATTTTCACGTTTTGAAGAAACGTGTATCTCCGAGTCCGGATCAACTTCCTAAATAAGGATCTTTCGACATATTACCTGTTCCTCAACTAGTTAGTCGGAAACACTATTGCAACAAAGCGCAGTGTGAGCAAAAAGTTAGACTGGTGAATAGTTTTTTCCCCGGGTGTACCAACCCAAGCAAAGGACGGATTATGGTCATCTTTATCATGTAATTAGCATAATAATGTTCACTTATTATTATTAGAAAATTAGAAGCAGAAACATTTGACGTGAAATGAAAAAACAAGCTAATTTTGTTGGAATTGTACTTCTATCGAATCTCCCGTGTTTAGTAGACCTGACCATTTTTTTTCGAAAAAAATGTGTGCCTTGTGGGGATCTAAGATTATTTATTATCTATGAGAGTTTTAATAAAGTGCAACAATAATCAGACAAAATAATTTATTATACAACAAATTTACACCTATTATTCTTTAAACAAATTTCGCCACCATAGTAACTAAATTGACTTATCCGTTCTGAAATTAATATAACCATTTTTCATACTATTTTATTGGGTCCAGCAAAGACTCAGCTTGTTTCGAGGCGCATACAAAAAAATTATTACTTTTAAGCGAATGCTCGCCAGAAGTCTAAAACATATAGTTTTTTAGCGGGACAACTATGAAAAAAAATCATTGAAGAGATCGTTTTTGTTTTTTAATTTATCGTTGTTCTTCATAAAAAATGATTCGGCCTATCACAATCTTTTTTTTTTACAAGACATAACACTATAAATGAAAACTTCGCATTTTTCTACGGTTAGTGGTACCCATAAATGTGGTCAATGGTAAAAAATTGTAATGGAAAACAAGAACACTTTTAAATTAAAAACACCTAGCTAAAAAAAATCATAAATGCCCCTCCAAAGAATATGAATTCTATAGTGCGCATTGTAAATTTGATATTTAGATGTATGGATACGGAATTTTGGACGATTTGTCATTTGGTAAAACTGACTTTATGTGCAATTTTTTTTTGATTTTTGTAGTTTTTATGCTGACTGCTAAATAAAAATGCCAATATATCAAAATAATAATAAAAAACAATAACTATGTAAAAAACGTACTGCAACTGCTGGCATTATTGTATGTATTAGGAAATAGACGCCAAAAATAAATTTCAACTAAAACTTTCAAGTTTTAGATGCAAACGTCAATCATAATGACACTAAAGCGTGGCTTACGTTGATATTTTTTGAACTGACATAACTTGATGTCCAAAATTTTGAGTTCACAATTGCATAAATTTGTAATTTTTCCGATTGAAAAAATTTTAATTTATGGAATTATATGTCTTGTTACCCCATACAAAAATTTAATTTCCATTGGAAATGGAACCTGTGAGCTTTATAATTAGTAAATATGTACAACCTATCAGGTAGATAGAATAATTATACAATTTATTACCCTTCTAACCCAACCCCTGAACGCAGGTAAAGACTGAGTTTGGACCCTGCCTAGGGTGTATTGCTGGTTGCTTTTGAAAAAGAATAATAAGTGCTGAAAACCGACTTGCCCGTTCACTCCCGGACAGCCTTAATCAGCGCTGCTTCCTGTTTCACCGGAAGTGACATTTATTTCAGTTTTTTTAAATATAACACTCTGTATATTTCTTTATTTTTACATTTCTCATTAAATTGTCTTTCAACAAGCTCACTTACTATTATTTATCTCTAACTTTTAATTTTAGGCAATTTGAAAATTGAATTAAATAAAGTTGGCTGTGAAAAGAATCAAAAAAATTTATTCATTTTATCTAAGACAAGCAAACGATTGATAACGAAAAACTGTTCAACTTTGAACAAAAAAGTATTATAACGTCTTTAAAAGAAATGAAATTGTAAATGAAATGGCATGTAAAATTTCTATAATACAGCCTAGCCTGTATTAGAAATTACTTTTTACCCAATAAGCAGGGCTGAAACCAAGAAAATAAAAATTTAAATCGAGAATTTTTTTACAAGAGTCGTTTCACCTATTCGTGGACAAACTGTGATATTTGCGAAAATAGTTTGATTCTTGATGAAGACTGTTGATGAAAAGTAAATGTAATAAGAAAAACTGAATCTAAAACAACAAAGACAACACTCAATAACCAGAATAATTGACATTTTATATTTGAATTGACAAATCGACGATATTTGATATAGAGCGACACAATTCCACAGCACACTTGATATAGTTTTTTGTGGGCACTTGGTATATCTCCAGGTATTCGATAATTTGGCTTTTCGAAAAGTATTCACAAAATCCACAACGTCTAAAATTTTGACATTTTGACTAAGCATAAATTTTTAATAAATTTTTTAGGGTAACAAGCAAAGAAGAATCAAAATTTGTAACGATGTAAATAAGATGTTACCAGTTTTCTCATCAGAATTTTTACTTGGTAATTTCCGTTTAAATGAAATAAAGTTTATCCAAGCGAAATACTAAAAAAAAAACGTAAACAAACTTTTCTTGTGTATTGATTTTTATTTATTTATAATTTAATAAAAGTAGTAATCAATAGTTAGTTATATGAAGTAAGATTGCTGTTACCTCTTATTACTTGCAAGCAATTACAGAGTAAGGAATTAATAAAGATTGCCTACCTACTTATTTCATCAGGTAATTAGTATTACATGCTTGGGAAAATCCGGGAATGGGGACGCTCTGGTATATTTGCTACGCAAGCGTATCGCACAGGAAATATTCCCGGGAAACGGTAGCTTCGTTCATCGGGAATCGTGGAAGCTCATCGTGGTGTAATGGTGATATTCCGTGATCTGAAATTTGAGAGTGAAACGTGTGATTAAAAATTCTAAATTCAGTATTTTAGATCTAAGAAAAAAGGACAATCAAAAAGTGTTATCATCAACATGGGCTTCCCGTTTCGCAATAACAATCAGCACTAAAAACTGAGGGAAAAGGTGAGTGGTCGCTCGCATCTACTTTGTTGCGTACCTGTTGCGCCAGTCTGCATGGATTATGAAGGTGGTCGGTTTTGTAGTAATAACAAATGATAAAAATAGCAACAGAAAAAGCATATACTCGTATAATAAAATAAACGAATTAAAATATTAATAAGTCATAGGAGTAGTTTTTTTCTCAATTTTGTAAAGTAAAATTTAAACATACTTAATTTCTAATTTTAGTTTGTAAGCTTGGTATATAGTAAAACAAATTTAGGATGTTGATACTATTATACGCAATTACCAAATGTGTAAAGTGAAAAGTACTTTAAAGACTATTAAAGTGGAATTTTGACTTTAGGTCCATATCTGTAAACAACACCTAATCAATACAATTTTTTAAATATGATATGGTTTTCGTTTATAATTTTTTCATCGAGAGATAGGACTTTTGGAGGATTAAAATTATTAAATATTAATGTCACCAAGAAATTGAAATCAAAAAGTGAAGTTGAAATCAACTCAAGGACTTGACAACTATCGTAATATAAAATTATGCGAAAATACAATCTTTATTTGTTTCTGTTTGCTAATTTTAACATTCTTATGAGTTATGAATCCAATCTTCCGCTACAAAATGCAATTTGTAACACTGGTTTTGGCCTGACTGCATACAATTGTTATTAGTTAGAAATTATTGTAGATCAACATGTTTTATCGAATTTGAGCTATTTTCAAGCGACTTGGATACAACATACGTCTTATGTCGTCAATTTAAAAAGCACTCAATAGAAAAAATAGTATAAAAAACACGTTTATACTCGTGCATTACAGACGACTACTCATCACAATGAGAGTGTTTGTAACACTTTGTTTTTGTAATATACAGGGATTTTTTTTTTAAATTTGGTCATAGTCCTATGTTTGGTTTAAAAAAGCACAGATAAATAGATAGAGTCTCAGTAGCGAGTTTACAATTTAGGAGCAAACGAAAAAAATGGTTTTATTTGAAATAAAGATGATGACAACACAAACAGAAAAATTACAGGCAAATATTAAATATTAAATACTTCACAGTAAGAAAAGATGATATAACAAAAATTTTGCTGAAAACCGTAATTTATAATAATAAACGGAACAGAAATTTTTGCTTCGCCTCATGTTTTTAACTTTTTTTGTAAACGCTATACATACGACTAAAGATAGAAAAGAAGTGTAAAGAACAAAGTTGTAGAGAATTAAATTTATTTTAAAAAAGTTCGTGACACTATAATATAGCCATTAAGACAACTACAGCTGTAAACTATAAAACTCGTATTGTCTTCAAGATTTTTTGCAACACTAATATTGAATCAGAAATTTTATTAAATTCAGAAATTATTATGAAGTAGTATGTCAAAATTGACAAAAAATATACATCAGCGTATTTTATAAATTCATAAGATACGTTTCTATTGCCGTCGTACTTTAAGATGAAGCGTATTTTAAGGGCAACGTAAGAGCTTAAGGTATTTAAAAATTCTGAAAAAAAAATATATATATATATAACTTTTTGATGGCTGTAGCAGCAATATACAGTATGCGCCAGAACTCGCGCCCCAAATAAAAATGCCATATAAAGTAGGATACCAGGAACATAGAAAAAATGTTAAAAAAATTGTATCTATAAAAATTTAAAAGATAAAATGAATTAAACTTTTCACTTTGACTCTATTTATTTCTGTTAAAAAAAGAATTTTCCAAGTTTTTTTTGCTACAAACAAGGAAGCTGTATCCTACAAGGAAGCTCTGTTTAATGTTATTTGTGGCTTTTATTGGCAAAATTTTTGTACCTTTACTAAATAATTGTAAAAAAACATGTACAAGATCATCAGTATCATTAAATAGACATAAAAAAATGTCAAATGTCAAAAAATAAATGTCAAAATTTTTTGACAGAATTTTTTAAAGATTTTTTCCATGTTCCGGTTATATTATCTTACTTGAAATTTTTTTCTGGGGCGCGAGTTTTGGCGCACCCTGAATATTAATTTAATTTTTTTTGTCAGTGCCGTTTAAAAATAATTTAAAAAAAACCTCTATTTTTGGTCATTTTATTTTTTTGTAAAAAAACTAGACGGAAGAATTTTTTGATTTATTTTTGGCGTATTGTAGATTACCTACTTATGTTACTGTTTTTTCATGCAATTTAAACAAACAAAAGTCAGGCAAAATTTAAAATAAGATTATAAAAATTTACAACTTCATCAGCAACATTTGAAAATACCAGGTGACTGTAAAATATTGTAATTTTTGTCGGCGACAGAGTCGTCGTCTATAATATTATGATTTAACTACTTTGTAGTAAATTAATGTTGGCAATAGATTTTTTTTGTTAAAATCATTTAAAATAGTAATAGGAAAGTTAGAAGTAAGGTAACTGGTGAACAGTAATATTATTAAGAATTTTACGGGTACCAGGTGAATAAAAATATACCGGGTGTCCCAGGCAGGCTTGGATATAGGAAATTAACATGGAAAATTAGTTTTAATTTTTTTCCGGCTGCAGGAGTAACAGAAATCAAAATCTGACTGATGAAGTTTGTAGTGCTTGAAGAGGGCTATCTTATCGATATTTTTGTCGATTCTCCAATTAACTCCATATGGGCGAAAACGACCGTCGAAAAATCGAAATTTGAATTTGCCGGGTTAGCGTTACTAAGAAACGAACTATCAAGTCATTGTTGCCAAAGGAGAATTTGTCACAATTTGACTTGATAGTTCGTTTCTTGGTAACGCTAACCCGGCAATCCACAAAATCCACAAAAATATCAATAAGATAGTCCTTTTCGAGCACTACAAGCTCCATTAGTCAGATTTTAATTTTTTTACTCCTGCAGTCGGAAAAAATAAAAACTAATTTCCCATGTTAATTTCCTATATCCAAACCTGCCTGGGACACCCGGTATATTTTTTTGGAAAAACTAATTCATGAATAAATAAAGTAAGTATGTATTATAAAAATGTAAGGTTTTTTAAAATAAAATTTTTAGAATTTTTTTTATAAAACCTTTTTTTTATAAAGGCTACAATTTAAGAATTACAACTATGTACTTTTTATTCAAAAAAAATATATGTTTTTTTGGCAAAATGGCAAAACTCAATAACAAAACAAAATTTCATTTTTAAAACACGATCACATTTTTTATAGTACTTTAATTTTTATTAATCATTATTTTCTTGGGGTAATTAATTAAAAAAAAAAACGCTTAGTTCCATACTTTTTATTCACCCTGTAAAGTAGTAAGATGTAAATATATAAATGTATTTTTGCTGCTTTGCTTTTTTATTTCATGTGATGACCATAAAAAGAGTCTAAACATGCACTAATTTTGTTAAGTTTTAAAAGAACAAAATCTTTTGAATTTTCTAAAGAACGAATTTTGCTACTTTTTTGTGAAAAGAAAAAGTTTTGAATTTTTGGGTCTAGTAGATATCAAACGAACAAGTTTTGATTGTTTGGCCTTTTTAGTTTGCTACATTTTTAATTTTACAGATCGAAAGAGCGCAAAAACCTTTAAAGAATCCACTGCTAATTTTTTTTTTAATTAAAACGAGTTTTGGAATTCACCACTGAATTCGGGCATACTTACTATACCTTTAGTTTAGTTTTATGATAAAGTAAATTTAATGCATCTCTTTGATAAACAATAGCTTTTACGATATGTTCAATGTTTATCTGTGTTATTAGTAAAGGCTGCTTGCCAGTACTTGGTTAGAAAGTGTGTTCTGTGTAGTGCATTTAATAAGTAACCTGCTATGTATGTCCTTCACTTTATCAAGTATTTAATTTCTATTTATCTTTTTCTCAAAACTTTATTCTTTAGTAGCGATTGTTGTTAGCAGTTTTAGTCTGTTTGCACAGTGAGCTAATTTGTATGTACCTCTTTAAAAATTACTCATACTAGGTGAACAGGCAATATGAGAACAAACATTTTTTGCTTGCTTAAACTATTTATTTCTTGTTTTTTTAATTATTGGATGAATGATAAAGTATTACGAAAATGTGACATTTCTTAGGAATACAATTTTTTTGTTTTTTTTTTTTGTATTTGAATTTACAATCTAAAGATTACAACAATCTCCATTTTAGTTTTATCAATTTTTTCTTTACATAAGTTGCCATTTAAAAAAATTACATAATTTAAAAAGAAAATCAAAATTTCATTTTCAAAACACGATCACATTAAATGTGATAACAAATTTTGTTATATCACTTAATAATAATTACAAATTTTTATTAATTATTATTTTCTGAAGGCTTAGTTCTACACTTTTTGTTCAGCCTGTATGTTTTGCAAATGCATAGTCAAATAGTTATTTGTTCGATGAGTTTGAGTGTAAATCGTACGCTTTATATCACGAGTGGATTTTTAAACCACAAGTGTTAACGAGTGGTTTATCATCCAGGAGGTGGAATAAATGAACCGATTTACACGAATACGAGTTGAATACAACATTTTATTCTCCAAATTAGACTCAACAAGTCTTAAACTTGCTTTAAATCTGTTAAAAATAATCTGACGTTTCGTATTGAGAAATGCAAAACTTCCTTACACAGAAGACAAACCGTAAATTTTGTCAGTGTCTAAAAAAACTGAGTTATAGCTGTTTATTAATGATCATTTTCAAAAAATCATACTAGCCTTGCAATTTCACAGTTGACAATTTTGAAAATTCTAGAAAACTTTTCGAAACTTTGGTTATCGATTGTAAAAAAAATATTCACTTATCGCAAAGGGTTGAAAAGCTGTGATGTTTTAAATAAACCTCTGCAAACGAAAATTTCGACCAAAAAATTGACATACCAGGTGAATAAAAAGTATGGAACCAAGCGGTTTTTTTCGTAAATTAAGCACTTTACGAAAAAAATTATTAGTGTAGCGTAAAGTACAATTAAAATGTGACCATTTATCAAGAATAACATTTTTCGAAATTTTTTTTAGTTTTCGAGTTCTGGAAATTTTTTTTTTTTTTAA